AGAATTCTTAGTCGCTTGCCTTGACTGAGTTGGTTATTTTTTTTTTTTTTTTTTTTTTATGATTTGAACTGGATTGGAGGAATCAAAACAGACGCAGACATTAGGGAAGTTAATGTTTTACATTAACTTGGCTTACATCTTGGTGGCACATAGCTTCACATACTTGACTTCAGGTTGAGTGCCTTTTGCACCAAGGCTCTACCTCGGTTGACATAAGGAACACCCAGTATTGCCCCCATCTGCCAGGTGTGCTCAAGTCTTTGAAACAAGCAGCAAGTCAAAATGCTATAGGCTTTGTACTAAACATTCGTAGGCATCTGAGGCAAGGTTGAATTGTTTCTACCTAGACATGATCCATGACCATCCACCATTGGGTCATGGATGGTGGTGTATGCTTGAGCTGGTGGGATGTGTTTTCAAAGAAGCTGTTCTTATGTAACTGAGCCCTCCCACTAAGGGCACGAATGCCCAGGAGGGGTCTCAAGTTCTTCTGGATTGTTGCCAAGTTTTCCTGGGGAAATAGCTATGATGTCCTTCTTGCTCTCTTTCAAATTAGTGATCTCACTTTTTATTAACTGTTGCTGCGCACATATCTGCACACACACACACATACATCTTGCTCATTCATAGAAAACTACAGCTAGTCCATGTGTTGTAGAAGAGTTCTGGCATTTATTACCAATGAATATAACCACAGAACACTCCCACACCTCAGGCTCAGGGAACATTGCAGGACAGAGGTGGAAAGCCAAAGGATCAGGCAGTTTTCTGTGAATCTGGGTCTCCCACTAATGTCAGAAACTACAGCCGTAAAGCCTTGCCAACATGGCTTCCTAAACTGAGCTGATAAAGGGCAACAGCCATAAGCATGCCCAAGTGGACATGGGCTGCAAGGCGCCAACCCTACACAAAGAACTAAGCCTTCCACCAAGGAATGCTGAGAGTGAGGTACTTCTTCTTCCTCAGGGAAGAGCATGTCAATTGGCTATTCATTACCGAGAAGTCACCCCTGAACACACACATACAAGTCCCACCATCAGCATCAGCTTTAAGGAACTTTTTGCTCTATTACCCCATGATGCTGTGGTTAACTGCAGAGTGCCAGCTACACAGCAGGCATGAGCAATATCTCCACCCCATAGGGATGTCTTAAACATCCACCTGCTACTGTAACCCTCGTAGGCACCGGCCAGCCTCACCTCCTTGCCTGTCTGAAGGAATGTAATTTGATAATGAAGTTCAGGTTCAGAGGCAGAGAACATGTCATTAGCTGGTGATTGATTGCTGGCTCCACGTTTGCAGTGTCCGCTACTCCCTCCCCTCCCCTTGCCTCAACTCCCTGAGGCTCTTTTTCTGCTGAATCATCACTACCCATGGCCATGTTCATTCCAAGGAAACCCTGAGGACTTTATATCCTCTTCCAGAAGCTCAGAACAGGACTTGTTTCGGTCTTGTGGGGCCTAAATCCAGGAGAAGGGCTGGCAAATGAAAGCATGTCTTTTTGTTCTCACTACTCACTGACAGCAACAGACATGTGCTGTGTGAATGAAGATAATGTGAAGGGCTCTGTTGAAGAAACTATGGACACTAATATTAACCCGGTACCAAGAGCCTGTTCCACTGCCATAGGGAGTCTCTCACATAAATGCTTGTGCTGGTTGGCTGAAGCAGGCCTTGAGAGAGTCAGACATGACCTGCAGCCCTCAAGTCAATGTGATTCACAAATGCAAGCGATGAATGTTTTCCATCCCAGATAGAGTGGTAAAGCCAATATAGGAAGCTTTGGGGATAGTGGCAGTCCCCCAACAGCACACACAAGAATTTTAAAGCTACTCTTCTAGGCTAGACTGAGATATGCTGTAGAAATTTCAATAAGACTAGCCTCCATAGGTTTATCTATTTGAAGATTTGCTCTCCATTTGGTGGAACTGTTTGGGAAGGATTGGAAGTGTGGCCTCGTTGGAGGAGGTCCCTGTCACCAGGGACAGGCTTTCTGGTTTCAAAAGACCAGCACCATTTCCACTGTGTTCTCTGCCTCCTGCCTGAGGATCAAGATGTGAGCTCTCAGCTCTAATCCTAAGAAACTTCTGTCTTTATTATGGCTGTTATTGCTATGAAGAGATACCATGGCCAAGACAATTTCAAAAGCACTTAATTTGAAGACTCAAAATTCCCTGATGTTAGCATCCATGATCATCATAGCTGGTAGCATAGCAGCAGGCAGATAGACATAATGCTGATGCAGCAGCCAAGAGCTTCTATCCTGATCTGAAAGTTGGAGATAGGCAGGTAGGTAGATACATAATTTGATAAATAGATGGATGGATGGATAGATAGATAGATGGGAGAATGGATGGATGGATAAATGTGAGAGAGAGAGAAAGAGAGAGAGAGAACAAGTACACGCTAACTAGGATCCATGGGCTTCAGAGACCTCAAAGCACACTCCCCAATGACACACCTCCTCTTACACCTCCTAATCCTCCCTAAACAGTTCCATGAACTGGAGACCAAGTATTCAAACACATCAGTCTATGGCAGTGGGGGCATTTTCATCCAAACTACCATAAGCTATAAGCCCAATTCAATGTTCTTTTACAAGCTGCCTTCGTAGTGGTGTTTTGTGGCAGCTGTAGAAAAATAACAGACAGGGACCAAGGCAAAGCTTCATTTTTGGATACTCTCAGAGGGCTTCATTTTTGAATACTCTCAGAGGGCCCCGAGCCTCACCACCAACCAAATCCAGGACTTCAGACAGGACTCTGCCTCTCTTGGTCCTTCCGTTCCCTCTTCAGTAAACAAACAAGGTGAATCCTGACTGCTCTCAACCTGCCTAGAACTTTGTTCTCTGGTTCTTTGGTCAGACAGGTTCAGAAATGTTTTCTCTCCAGCCTGGATCCCTGATGGCCCCAGGCAGCTATGCTACGGATATGAACTGACTCCCTTTGATGCTGCTCTCAGGGACTTCTCCCAACACCCAACTGCCTCCCTTAAATTACTAATGAATGTGCGGGGTGGCATAAGAAACAGGTTTTCTCTGTCGACACCCCCCACACATACTCTCTCTCACTCACTCACTCACTAGCTCACTTCTGCTCGTTCAGAAGTGGGACAAGCTTAACTCAGATACCACAGCTGATTTTCTAAGGGATGTGGGCATCATCTCTCACCTGGCAGAGCAAATTCCATCTAGCTTCATGGGTTCTTGGTGGTTAAAGACCCTTCGGATCTACACCCTGAGAGTTTATCGAATCTCCATGCAGCGGTCACTCCTTTTCTTTGGAGTCTCATCTACGGGGGAGAAGATTGTAATATCTGCCACTTGTATTGCTTCTTGTTGAAGATTGCACTTGTTATAGGTGTTACTGTGAAAATAAGTACCTGAGAAAAGTAAGTTTAAAAGGGGGGAATTATGTATTTTTTGGCTCCAGGATTCGGAGGTTTTAATCCACAGACTTTGACTCTAGTAATGCTGGCCCTGTGGCTGGGCAGAGCATCATGGTGGTAGAAGCACACGTATGTGACAGGCTCCTCAGACACAAAACAAACCCAGAAAGAGATAAGAGCATGTAGTTCCCAAGAACATGCCTCTTCCCCAGAGATCTCCCTGTGCTAGGTCTTGCCTGCAGCTTGTAATTCCCTCATATTTAAATCCATTAAGGGCTTAATCTGTTTGTTGTATCAGAGCCTGCAGGATCCAATAATTTCCTAAAAGTGCATCAGCTAGCAACAAGCCCCCAGTAATCAGCCCATTGGGGCATTTCCCACTAAAGGCCCCCAGTAATCAGCCCATTGAGCTGCTTCCCACTAAAGGCCCTCAGTACATCGGCCCATTGGGGCACTTCCCACAAACAGGTCCCCGGCGTATCATCCAGTTTGAGACATTATACCAGAAACACCCCAAGTACATCAGCCTGCCGAGGCATTTTAAGTTCAAACCATAACACATTGTGGATTTTATAACGGGCACCAGATGTAGGCTCTGTTTCTTTCATTTACCTATGAGAAATTGGGATTTTTAGCATTAAATGTCCTGTCAAGGTCACACTGTGCATAAGTGGGTCAGCTGAGGGTTAGCTGTGTTTCCCGACTGTAGAGTCCACATGCCACTCATCGTGTAGGAACCCCTGCCACAGCAGAACACCTCAAGGGAATCGTAGCTATCCTATCTGATTGATGGACAGTGCTGGGTGCCTGTTGGCGGGCAGCGCAAAGGTGTTTGCCCTTGGCACATGGGAGTCACAGCAAGTGGACTGCATGGAGATTGGCTTCAGCTGAGGGAGAAAGGGTGGCAGTAACTTCAGGTCTCTCTCTCTCTCTCAGTGGTCAGTGATACAGAGATGGGGTCCTTTTTTGTGGACACAGCCATCATAGTAGTGCCACTTATAATTGCAACAACAGTCAGATGGGGACACTAGGGCTGAAATGAAAGAAGAGAATGCTGGTTAACAGTTGGAAATGATGTCGGCCCAGAGTGGCATGTTGGAAGCTCTGCTGAAATTGCTTTAAGATACACTCAGAGATGGTGTTCTATAGCTGTGAAAGTCTTCGGTGGTGTTTGGAGTAATTCTGTGTGACGTGCTCACACAGTAGCCACCTGCCGTCGATCTGGAAGCTGCCCGGCAGCCCCAGGAGAGTGCGAGGTGGTAGGAGGCTGTTTGGGACACTTGTGATGAGTTGCTGGGGCTCACTGTAACGCTCCCTCTCATTGTTTCTGAAGTGTCTGTGATGTTCTTTCCATGCAGGCATGTGAGGTTTCTCAGTGTTTCAGTTTTGCTTGGTTCAGCTACTGGGTGAAATGTATGCTTTGGAGAGAAAACCTCCTGGCAACTTTTCATGATTTGGAACAAATTAGAGTGCTCACTAGCATCTCTGGGACCTCTTATCTGTTTTAGGGAAGCTTCTGTGTTATTTAGCTGTGTTCTTTGGGAACAACCTAGGGGAAACACCAGTGCAGGGCAGAGATCCGGCTAACTTATCCCTTCTATTTTCTTCCTTAGGCAGAAGAAGGGGAACGTGGCCCACAAACACTGGGTTGGACCTTCAAATCTGGCTAAGTGCAAGCCTTGTCCCGTGGCACAGTCAGCGATGGTCTGTGGGTCGGATGGTCACACGTACACATCCAAGGTTGGTCCTTACTGTTGTCCATATCGTAAGAATCACCTAAAATCTCTGTACCCTGTGGGCAGCCTGGTCAGTCAGGGCCCTGCCCTGGAGGAGCACAGACTCTGAAATAGGGAACTTCTGGCCAAAGAGGCAAATATGGAATGTGATGGCAATGGCTGAAGGCCAAAGCAGGGAGTGGGATGTGCTCTGTCCAAAAGATGCCGGCGGCATAGCTCGACCCAATGGAGAAACAGCCTGGGAGCTGATGCTTCCGGTGGCTAGACGGAGCTGTGATTTTTCCCACCTCCTCTACCTTCTTGAGTTTCAGTGAGGTTTCCTAGTGGAGCCTATGGCTGGTGAGTTCCTATGGAGATTACCCAGTCACCCTGGGTCCCCTTGCTGTGTGGGGCTCAAGCCTTTCTGCCCCTTCCCCTTTCCTTTTCCTGCTAGCCACACTGTTCTATTTTCTGTGCTGCCCAGGCTGATCTTCACACTACAGACCCCACCAGCCCGGAGAGAGCCCTCACTGCCTGCTCTGATCATGGCTGCTTCCCCCCAGTGATTTTTGTGATGCACAGGCCGTGTTTTTATTTTAGCATTCCAGGGCCACAGCCACGGCACAGGGAGTTCATTCGTTCACTCAATGGGTATCGTTTGCAGCCTTGCTGTGTGCCAGGCAGAGTGCTAAGTGCTAGGAAAATATAATCTGATAGAAATAAAGCAGACAGCTTTTGTCATAGGCAGAGTCATAATCCTCCTCTCTGCATCTGCAGGCCTACCCTGTCAGTTGGAACTACTGTGTGCGTGGCCAGAGCCAGTGTGTCCTTCCTGCTCACACAGCCCTATAGCACACCTCAGTTTCCCCTTCCCTCCTTCCTCTTGATCTCAGATAGAGTTGATTGGAGACAGATTTTAATAATAGTTTGATTCTGATACTGTAACATATCTGAGATAGTGGGTTTATAGGTATCACTGAAAATCTATTCTTATCTACCATTCTCAAAGGCTGCAGGTCCCAGGTAGACCTGAGCTGCAGGGCAGCAGTGCAGGACTTGGCTAACGTGCTGGCCTGTAGTGCTATCAGTTGCTCAAGAACTGTCTCTGAATCTTTGCTGATCAAGGCCCTCCTGTAGCTGGGGAGGTTGGCTTGTGATAGAAAAGGTACTGCCTTACTCAGGAGGCAGGGATCTGTATTGGAAAGATTCCATTGTGATGGCTCCTCATTTTGCAGAAGAGAACTGGCCTCTACACAAGAGTTGAGCGAAGCACTCAGAGGCCTGCCCCATCCCTAACACCACTCTGCCAGCAGGTATTACCCTTCAGATCCTGAATAGGTGGGGTGAGTCTATGTCAGCTGTTTTCCTGGGGCAAAATGAGATGGAAGACTGATCATCAAAGGCTATTGTTAGTATATACTACGGCAATCTTCTATTGTTGTCACAAAATGCCTGAGATAATCAACTTTCAAGGATGAATAGTTTGTCTTGGCTGGTGACCTCAGAGGTCTCATTTTATCATCTGGCTCCATAGCTTGGGGCTTGTGCAGGCACAGCTCAGCATGGAGGAGGAGAAGAGTCCTATTCACCTTATGGTGGCTATGAAAAAAAAATAAAGTGAAGGAACCTGGGATTCCAACATCGCCCTCCCCCCCCACCATGGGCATATGCTCAGTGACATAAGTTCTTCCATCCAGCCTCTACATCCTAAATGTCCTACTTCCTTCAGTGCTACCATGGACTGGGGTCAAGCCTTCCACACTTAGGCTGTTGGTGGGTATCCAGATCCAAACTACAGAATGTGTGACACTAAGGTTCCTTGGGACAAGGCTTATGGCAGGTTCTGATGCTCATGGGCTTCTGCCTGGAGATATGTGATTTACCCACTTCACTACATAAAACAAGGAAGCAGGGTGGCGGGAATGACAATATTTCAGGGTAGGTGGTGTTGGGTCCTGGTACAAGTGGCCAGGTCTTCTGCCTTTGTTCCCTGTGAATGTCACAAATCAAATACAGTTAAGTCACAGCATTGTACTGTTTCTTGAAAGCCTGTGAGGCAAAGACCAGTTACAAACCATGATGGTACTCAGTGGGGTTTTCTTCCAGAGGGCATATTTCCATATGGTCAGGTTTACTATTGTTTTACTTATTGCCCCTAAAGATGGGGTCCCTTGTTTATTGAGGTTCAAAGAGATGTTTGGATCTTAAAGATGATGTTGGGTCTTAAAGACAAAGCTTTGGAGAATACTAATAGAGGCTTGGTTAGTGTGAGTGAATGTGTTAACTATAAATAAACACTGGCTTCCTATCCCATGGAGCTGTGGCCTTTTGAGGTCATCATTCCTGGAAAACAGAGGACAGCTGAGACCATGGCGCATGCGTAAGCAGAAGTGACTTCGTGCTATCAAGTCACACTTAGAATAATCTTTGACCAAAGCACAGCCTCAGACCTGGCATTTCCATGAAACCCATCCTAGGTGAGCAGCCACCAATTTCCAGCTGAATTGTTTCTCTCTTCAAGCTGGGCCTGTTGGCTATGGAGAGTCAGGGAAGGCAGGAGAAGGAGCACACTTTTCAGGCTGGCCATGGAGCAGGTGTCCTTCCTGGAGACACACGAGGCAAGCTTTGCTTCTGCGTGTGGAGTTTACCTTGTAAGGTTAACCATTAAAGAGTCACGGTTTCGCATTCATCTGCCTCCACGTAGGATGGGAATGAAAGGGATGGGACCAATGCTGGTGATGTTGGGGTCGAATGGCATTGCTCCTGACTGGCTCAGTGGTTTCTGGAGAAAACAGCCCAAAGAGGTATCAGGGGGGCCTAGCCCGATCTTGGTGACTGATAGATTTGAAACACAAAAAGTCATCTGACCTATGAGCTCAGCATAAGGGAACCTACATCTTCATCCCAGCTGAGCTTGCAAATCCTTTTGTCAACAGAGTTTTGGCTGTAACCTAGTATGTTTGGACCCTATCGTTTGCAAAACCCTTTCTTTTCCCTGCCGTTCCTTGCATGGCTGGGTGGAAGCAGGGTCCACGCTGCTGGATTCTGGCTCTGTTCTGCGGGAAAGTTTGTGATCATCTTCCATTCAGGTGGGCCAGCCTGGGTTTCTACTTCCGGAAGGGAAAGCTATTTTAGAAATGGCAGCAGACCTGGGGTGGTGATCAGGTCTTAGAAGCTCAGAGAGGGCCAGCAGGAGCTCCTGCTGGGTGCTTCTCCTACAGGAAAAAAGCCATCCAATATGGCTTCCATGGACATGATGCTCCTGACTTTTCCCCAGGTGGGTACATGATATCCAGGACTGCAGCCCATATGGTATGTGAAACGCACGACTCTTCCTTGTCAAGGTACATGGCATCCATTCAGTTCGGATGCCTGGACCACTTTGTCCCTGTGCTGGGAGGGAGTTTCATTGCCTGGATCTTTCCCAGGAAATGTCATTGGCCATACTTACCGAATCTCTGATATCAGCCACTGCTCATTTCCCAGCCGGAATCTGGGACTAGCCTGTGAGAAGAGGGGTCTCTTGGTGGCACAGGTTTCTGAAGAGTCAGTGCTGTTCTTTGGCACCTGCCTGGCTCTTGATAATTGGGAGACAGCAGGCAAACACTCATTCGCTCTCGTCCCTCCCCCACATCTTCTTTAAAAGCTGTTAAACAATTAGCAAATGGCTCATTTATGTCTAGACACTGAAGAAAGATGTGGAGTTAAGAACTGCTCTGAAAGAAAATGTGTTCTCTAGGTTCTGAAAGCACATACAAGTGTGGGTGGGCCAGGAGCGCTTGCTTTACAGGGCTGGCATTTCTTCCAGCACGCTGTCCCTGTAGATTATATTATCTTTGCCGAGGCATCTTAATAGTTTCTAACAATTGCTACCAAGCAAAGGTCGTGTTTGAAGTTCTTGAGTCTCTGTTGGCCAGATTTTCCAAGAATAGGAAATTCAGAGGACTGAAGCTGATTCAGGGTGTAGGCATGTGAGACTCTTCTAGGCAGCTTTAGGCACTGTCTTTAGCTTCTAGGCCAGCCAGCCTGTGAGCATTTCTACCCCGAGAGGGTGGTTGCTCTGCTCTGCTTGTTATTGGCTTAGGCTGGCAGTAGATACATTTAGGGTAGGTTTGTTCCCTCCAGAACTGCACCATGTGAATGGTCTTTGCTTGTACATGGCTCCTGAGAGAGGGCCTTGCTGTAGGTGGAGAAGGATATCAAACAAAAGGGAACTGCAGGTAGAATGCATACCTTTGCACATGGGAGCCTGGTACCCTGTGGCAACAGTGAAGGCAGGAAAAGGGCGGCTGCCTCCATGCGCTCCCCTCAGACAGCACTGAAAGGACAGTGACAGTTCCCTTGTCTGTCCCTGCTCTTCCATGGCAGAGGAAAGAGAGCAGAGAGACCCCAGAGGGGAGGAACCATCTGATAAAGGATTCTGGAGTCAGATTCAGGAGTTGGTTTTCTGTTGCATAGAAAAGGCCAATAGAAGACGTTTTGTGTCTCTGGCGGCTTCTAGCCAACTCTAAGTGATTTTACCTCATACATTAGAAAATCTGAAATTTCGGGAGAATTCCAGGATGGATAGCAGATTCCCCAGCTTGCCTTTCACCCTCAGGCCATGTTCATTTCCAACTTCCTATCTTAGTCTGGGGGAGTCAGATATCATTTGGTAATGAGAGCTCATTTCTGTGGTAACCTTCAACTATTTTAAATACTTTTGCCTCTAGTTTATTGTCCCTTCCTCCCCCTTAAAGGTCTTCCATGAGGAGTAAGCATAAACAGTATTTAGAATAATTAACTGCATATTCACGAGGATATAGATTCTGGCCCCCATGACAAAATTCCAGATGAAACAGAGGCTTAAGCACATCAGCTCTGGCTTCTGGTCCATACAGAAGCCACCCAGAATTGACTGGGGTTCCGAACTGCCTCCATCCTGGGGCTGCCCAGGACCCACCTAGCTTGGTGTTCAGTCATACACAAGAATTGCAATAGTGAAGCTTTCCCTACGGGTGCAGCAAGGCTGCTGGAAGGAAAGTG